ACTGCTGAGCCCACTTCTGCCACGTTACGCACATCTTCCACCTTCCAGAACTGCGTGCAACATATGCTGCATTCCTTTAAATCTACACCAAAGCAGTATTTTTATTACAGAAAAGCTCAAGAAATCCAGAGTAACGTTTCCCAGAGGAACATCAACTCTCTTCTCATTACACACAGGTATTGCGATACGCTCTTGGGTCAACGGGTCACCTCCTCCAGGGAGCACAGAGCACGCCACAAGGGGACAGCCCCGCTCCGCTGCTCTCACGCTTTCACCTCCCCTCCACTACACAGGCTATTTATAAAAAAATATGCATGTTTTTCTGTCCTAAAGCAAAGATAGGCTCCTTAAATACGGAGCACAACGACTAATTTATAGATGTAGAGAAAGTCTTATCAGAAATCTATCAATTTAAATAACTCCGAAAGAACAGGTTTTCTGCCTTGTTGTTAGAGTTTTTGGCTCAATAATCCAAAAGTACTCTTCCCTGTTGTTTTTCGCTTTGTACATCTCAACGTAATTTGTGAAAGGAAAGGAATATTACTGTCCCAAGGGGAAAAGTAGAAATACTTGTGATATACAAAGAGCTGCAGGTGAATATTTTAAAATTCATGTGCACTTTCAGGTAAAAAAAAAAAAAAAAAGAGAGAGAGAAACCCTTGATTTCCAGGGGCACTGAGTGTTCTCAGCTACTCGCTACCCTCGTCGTAGGCTCGCCCCAAAACACAGTGGTGCGCCTCCCGAAGGGAAGGCTCTTTCCCAAATCCACGGGAAGCAATGCCAAACCTCGGGCATCCCTAGGACTCGCACTGTGGGTATCGTTGGTGGAGGTGTGCTCAGATATCTGCCCTCCAGGCAGTACTCTGGAAGACGGCATGGGGTTATTTCACCAGGAAAAAAATATAAAAAAAGCTCGAGGAAATTTTAAACTTTAAGCAACTCCAAGTGTTTGAATCAATTTCTGTTCTTTGCTGAATTTTCTCAGCCCGGTCTGAATTTTCTTAGCGCTGTACTTCACCTCTACGGAATAAAGACAGTTCTTTAATACCGTCTTGCACAGCCCCTCGTCCCATCCTGATTAACACCTACAAGAATAATCACGAGCCCTTTCGTTCAAACCTTAACGTGGGATCCGCCTGAAGTTAAAAAGTAAAGTTGTTTTCTGGCTCACCTCAAAAAAAAAAAAGACCATAACTTTGGCTCTAAACAAGGAATTACTTTCTTCACTTCGGGATACAGAAGCTTTTATGTCACTTTCAATAGAAAAGAATTCATTTCTCCAGGCTCGAGCTAGGCAAGAGAAATTTTAGCCCCGAAGTAATTTTATACCCAACTGTAAAGAGGGGGTTATAATGAATATGTCATTCCAATCGCAACTACAAAACTGCTACAGCAATGATACCATTTAAAAATATATGCAGTGATCTAGCTTGGGTTGCGTTGTTTTTTCTCACAAATTATTGATGTTCTGACAGCCCGGGAGTAGCAAATGGAATCCGAGGCAGGAGCTCACACGAAAAGGTCACCAATAACAAATGAAAATACATCCTCCCCTGGAAGGTTTTGTTTACGCAATGAAAAAGTTGAGGTTCGGCTTCTAAAAATGCGTCTACCCTCAGTTTCAGGGGGAGGCAGGATCTCTGCCGCACCACAGAAGCACCTTCTATCTATAGAAGACAGTCATAAAAGCTTCAACATCCAAAACCTCTGCTGCAGCAACGGAAACTGATGCTTCGGATGTTTGTGTTGAGATTTACAGTCGGATTCAAATTTAGTCCATTACCCCCTTTATAACGGCAGCCGGGATTGGGAAAGCAATGAGTTTGGAATTGAAGAACTGATCTCAGATGGCAGCGTTTCTGTTGTTCAATTCTTTTACACCACCAAACGCATCCAGCTTGCACACCATGATGATATATATGGATGGATATAAAACCAGAGTTCATCTCTGCCCTTAAAATATATATTATGGTCATGCAATCTTGCATAATGAGAGCAGAACTTCAGCTGTACTTTCACAATAAGATTTCTGGAGAAGAAACTTCTTCTTGTTGACTATTTCTATAGTTTTGATCCCACCACCACCTGGGCAGCGACTCCAGCCCTCACACAGCACACCCACATACCTCCTTACAAGACACACAGGATAATTTTTCAAACACTCCAGAGTGGCATTACTCTTCATTGCCATCATTTTACAGCTCCATTACCCCCGACCAAACACTCAAGGTTATAACAACTCAGCCTAGTTTATTTTTTTTAACCCCAATTGAAGATGTCTCTATCTGAAGTGCTCAGAAATGAAATGTTCTCCTGGGAAAAATGGTTTTTTGCTCGTAAAAAAAACACGGGTAACCATCTGGTCTTGGTCTGGTTGGATGTGTTTTCTCATGGGGCAGGGGCAGTTTCGGAGGCAGAGCACAGAAGCAATGTCCCCATAAGCCGTAACCACCTCCCACACGACACCCGAACCTCCGGTGCGGCTGTTCGCAAAGCACTTTGAAGACAGTCAAGAATAAACCCGAACATTACTTCCCCTTAATTATCCTTCCAATGCATGAGTTAATATTTTATATTTTTTTGCTCTTTACTCTTGGCCTGCCAAAAATGTGCTCTTTGCCTTTTACAGATGAGAAAAGATGTCATTTTGGCCTCTTTATTCCCTGGCAGCCATCCCGAAAAGCTGATAGCAGTACCTGTGTCTCCTGCCATCTGGCCTCACAGTCCTCTTCCCCGTGGTAAGACCAGCCTCACGCCACCGCGTGAGAGATGGGGCGGAGGTTACCGCTAACGAGCTACCCCAGCGTGGAGGGCACGCAGAAACCCAGGAGCATCTCCAGGGAACACAACAGTGAAATACAGAGCCTCTTTAGTGGCTGTCAACTCATTCCCTGTAAGTTTGAGTCTGATTGATACCTGGTCTGGTGGGAGGTGTCCCTGCCCAGGGCAGGGAGGTTGGAACTAGACGGTCTTTAAGGCCCCTTCCAACTCTAACCATTCTATGATTCCACTTTTGGCTCCCCTGAGCCTTCCCAAATGTGTCCTGACACATCCCTATTACTTATAATAGGACTTCAACTAGTCTTAGCTTCTATTTTGTAGTCTCTTTTCACACCGCTCCCCCATCCAGCACATTAATTGGTTGGGCACTTGTTCAAGACCATGCTTTGAGCAACCTGGTCTTAGTGGGAGGTGTCCCTGCCCACGGCAGAGGGGTTGGAACTAGACAGTCTTTAAAGTCTCTTTCAACTCAACTTCCAATTCTATGATTCTGTGATTCATTTTTAATGGCTTAAATATGCACTATTTACCCACCAGGCTTGAACCAGATGCCCACCACCACCTTTCCTCCTGTGGTAGTCATAACTTCTTCTGACCGGTCCATAGCTAATTGTTCTGGGATGTTACAACTTCTTCTTATACCTTGAAGCCTTAAAAACATTCCTGGAAGAAGCAGGTCCTGCTGTTCAGGTATATGCTCCACAAAGTGATATTTTCCCTTATTTTAAGATTCAACTGGGATTCATCTTCTCTAAGCTTAAGCTCCGAACGGCCCTGCCCGGACCAGGAGTGCACCGAAGGAGGGAGCTGATGGGTGGCCCCATTGTCCATCCTCCGTGGCACCGCATCAGCAGACACTGCCAGGGCAGGGCAGCGAGCAGCTCGTGCTGCCGAAGATGTAATTACGGCAAGGGTATGAATCTCAATTACTGCAGGAGCCATACGTTCCCCTTACGCGCAACTGGGTAAGTTATTGCGCCTGAATCTTTAGCTACATTTTTCTCCCCTATTTTTCCCCGGCGTCAAATTGTCACAGGGTTTGTATGGCTGATATTTCATTCCTCCCCAGATGGCTCAGACAGAAAATACCTACTAAGCCACTTAGGTCAGTACCAGGTTGTTCTGTGTAATATGCTTTATTGTGCTTTGTTCAGCCAAGTTTTAATTAACTTAAGAAATATGACTTTCCTCCACTGAAGGCTTACAGGAGATTATTCCATCACCTGCAAGTTTTTTGTCTGGGGAAGGACACATGCATTATCCAATGAGACTTGGCCTTTACCCTTCCTCCAGTCCTTCTGTTTGGAAGTTCATCTGTGATTTTAAACTAAGAACCAGCTGCCAATAAAAGCCTGAATCTAAACTCTCAGTGTGCATCTCTCCAGGCAGGTCAGAGACGAAGTCATTCCCACCAACAATCCCCGTTTTGAGGAAATTCAGTATTTTTCCTGCTGTACTAAATTTAACATCCATTGTTTTAATTTTTATTGCCCTATTTATTCCCCACTTTCAGTGCAGAAATGCTTTGTTTGAGGCAACTTGGGTGAGATTCACTCGCCCATAGTATAGACATTTAGAAGTTAAAGAGCCAATCCAAATCCACCAACTTCACATTTTTTTTATTCACTGGACAGCAATAAGCATCTGCAGATAGCACGTCTTCCCATGTCTCAGGATAAGAGGAACGATCCTTTGAAATATGTTACTCACCAAGGGCTACAGAGGAGATCAAGGCCGATTAATTCAAACTTGGATATTTAAGTTTTAGGCACCTCATTCTGGAGAGATGAATCTGTTTGTTTCTTTCTCTTGTAATTACACCAAGGGCTACAGAGGAGATCAAGGCTGATTAATTCAAACTTGGATGTTTCTTTCTCTTGTAATTCCCTTTTCCCTCTTTGAAACTCAAGAGAGACTCCGCCTTGATTCACTAAACTCTATTCGACAGAAGAATTGCCATTGCCTTCCCATGATGGCCTGATTTTCAGGTGTTCAGACTCACAATGGAAGCAGATTTTCAAATCAGTTCATCATTCAACTAGCCCGGTGCTCCTGAAAGCACGGGCTCTTACTTTTCTGCCTAAACGAGAGCTTTCTTATTTAAAAAAAAAAGAAAAATCTACCCTCAAATATCCATCTTTAGACAAAAGCACTCCACAGAATCACTGAATCCCAGACTGGTGGGGGTTGGAAGGGCCCTCTGGAGCTCCCCCAGTGCCACCCCCTGCCAGAGCAGGGGCACCTCCAGCAGTGGCACAGGACGGCGTCCAGGCGGGTTTGGAATGGCTCCAGAGGGGGAGACTCCCCCACCTCTCTGGGCAGCCTGTGCCACTGCTCTGCCGCCCTCACAGCAGAGAAGGCCCTCCTCAGGTGGAGATGGAACTGCCTGTGGTCACCTTTGTGCCCGGTCCCTCTTGTCCTGTCACCCTCAGCATCTCCGTAGCCCTTTGCTGGACCCTCTCCAGCAGTTCCCTGTCCTTCTTGACCCGGGGAGCCCCGAACTGGACACAGCGCTCCAGATGTGGCCTCCCCAGGGCAGAGCAGAGGGGGAGGATGACCTCCCTCCACCTGCTGGCCACGCTCCTCTTGATGCACCCCAGGATGCCATTGGCCTTGGCCACCAGGGCACATTGCTGGCTCATGGGCATCCTGTTGTCCCCCAGCACTCCCAGGTCCCTTTGCACAGAGCTGCTCTCCATCAGGTCAGCCCCCCAAACTGTACCGATGTGTGGGGTAACACCCCCCTGTAAAACACAACAAGCTGCCATCTGGCCATGCTCCACCAGCCCAAAGTTGGTTTCAGCAAATGTGGGAGCTCTCCGGTCCCCTGCCCGTCCCCGCTTTCATCCTACCACTCTTTTTTAAGCTTTAGCGCAAATCAGTGTAATAACGTCTTGCTCTTAGTGCATTCTTGTGGGCAAACTATCATTAAACTTCACTTGCTCATGTCCAGTCTTTCATAACAGTATAAGACAATGAATTAATAGTAAAATCATTAATAGTATAATAACTTTCGATGCATTCAATGCATCAAACCCAGCTCTGTTTCAAACCCATTGACTCCAAATGTAATTTCTCATAAGGGCTGAAAAAAGCTTTGTGCTTTACGCTGCTGCCTTTTTACAGCCTTTCAGAAGAAGCCTAAAGATTTTTTCCCCGTAATTTTCCATAGACTCTTTTGGTTGGGGTTTTTTTTTCAAGTATAGGAGAATTACCTGGAGAAAGAGTTGTCGATGCTTTGTACTGGAAGACTTTTGGAGACAGACTGTCTGGAGAGGATAACGCCCTCCCAAAGGTTAGGAAGTGAGCAGGACCATCTGTGTTTCTCAGCTGTGCGGGCGCAGAGTCAGAAAGTCTGACAGCATCACCAGGCACAGAAAAGCAGAAAAGACTTTTTTTTTTCTTTTTTCCCTTTAAATCAATGGAATTGATTCTTTCTTGAACCCCCCCCCCAATCCCCCAGACTGGACGCAAAACAATGCAGACCACTGTTTTCCTCAGGATTTGGAAGCAAAAGCTGTGGATGTCTTTCTCAGATGATCTTCTCCGTGGGCTTTTTGTGGGTATGGTCACTGGTGCTGCTCCAGGCCTGGGGAAGACCTCCCGCTGGCCTCACCATGGCAGCAAACATTAAATCTGAACTTGCAAATATCCCATTAATGGTTTAAAAATTCTTTTTTCCCTTTAAATCAATGGAATTGATTCTTTCCTGTGCCTGAATTATCCTTGGCAATATAAACAACAGAGAGCTGTGCATGGCAGACTTACTCTTCTTCAAGGCTCACCGTGCCAGCGGGACTTATTCTCCGTGGTTTACTCTGCAGCCGGGGGATATTCTCCACCCACCAGCAATGAGTGACACCTCCAAAATCGAAAGATTGAGCCCCAAAATATGGTTCAGTCCCAGAACCACGTCTCCTTATCGCCCACATCTACTTTGAAGCTGAGCATCACTTCATCCCTTCCATCCCCCCAATTTGAGAACGTACTTCCTCTGCTGTGCCGAGGAGCGCCTGGTGCAGATGACGGCCACCACCGCCACCACCACCACGGTGATGACGCCCACGGTGACGACGATGATGACAAGGAGGTTGCTGTTCTTCTGGGGCGTGACGCTGCCGTGGGGAGGGTGCATCTGCCCGATGGGAGGCTCTGAAAGAAGAGAGACAACGAGGGGATGGTTAGCGCTGGGTTCGCTCCCCTCCCTCTTGAGGAGTCACCCATGAAATAAAACCCATCAAGCCTGGCCGGTGGCACGAATTCCTCCCAAAAGAGCAGACAGAGGGTGCAGAAGGGCGCCATAAAGAGCTGAAATTTATGTCTCGCTGCATTTCAGAGGCACAGCAAACAGGAAAATATTTAAGCGGTAATGACTTTGCACTTTCTGGGTGTTAATAACCCGATGGTGGGAGTCAATAACTCTCGGCTCATTTTTGCTATTATCAGCTGAAAATGGAAATACAGGGACTATGGATTTTTTTTCTTTATGGCCCATACAGGCTTTCTCGCTATTTACAAGCAAATACATATCTTGTGCGTCAGCCAACCTGAATGCCCGATTCATTTGTCAGTAATTGCGTTCACCCCACAGTCAGTCCCACATCACATTCCATTGCGTTTATTGCTGTGCTGAGCAGATCCCCATGCAACACTCCAGCAAGTTAGGGGCTCAATCTTCTGAAGTGACGAGTTTCCTTCCTTTCAACGCAGCAGCAAGATGGGGACCGAAAATAGCATCATTTCTGGTATCAAGTCCCAGCCAAACTGACTTCAAGTAGTGGTCCCTCACCTTCGACAACTTTTTTCCAATTGTATTGGGAACAGCACACCCCATATTTTTATTATCTTGTTGGACAATGCCCAACGCAGCGTTGGGCCATAGACCACAGACACCTGCACAAAGCAGTGAGAAATCCTTTTGTTCTGTCTGCTAAAGCAATCTGATAGGCGTCCTGTAAGATTACACACTCACAAACCCTAAAATGTCTCATCACTTCAGCTCGGAGAAAAAACAAATATTCGGTGCAAAGGGATGCAAAAGGGAAGAGCTGTGCTACAGCACGTCAAGGATACAAGAAAAAGAATTCAAGAGTTTTCACATGGCATCATCCTTACAACCTCCCACGTATAAACTAAACAATATCTGTCTGGGATCTCATTTTGCCTTTAGGACAACTGAACACAAAAGGAAAAAAAGAGAAATCTTTCCAAATAACAGTTTTAGTTGGCGATAGATGTAATTTAATTGTAATATTCTGCCTTGATTTTCTGCCCTAATAGGTTTGCTTTACTTAACCAATTATGCTATTTAAATAATTTGCCCTTTTCTCACAGCTTTTTTTCAGGCAACTGAGTAAGACAAGCAGCTGCGAGCGCCATCCTTTTGCCATGACAATGGTCTAATATAGAAATCCCAAATATTTTGGGTTGGTTTTTTTTTTTTTCTTTTTCATTTCCATGCTGAGTAAAAGGCATCGAAGGAATATACCACATAAAATACAGCGGCTATCAAGAAAAACAACAAGTTTTCACTCCCTACCCTTCACTGCAGTCCCTGGAAGCTCTCTTTACTTCTCAAAAGTCAGTGTTCTTATAATTATGATGAACTACTATAAGAGCAGGAGGAAAGCCTAAACCACACAACAGCGGCGCGTTGGCTGCAGCAAAGCAGGACAGAAAACACATTTTGTATTCCCTCCCTGTCTCGGCTGAAGGAAAATAATCAGGGCGAGTTAATCAGCTATGTGCCTTGTAATTATTTTGTACTTTCAAACCTCACTTGATACCGCATTTGAGGGAATCTTGTCTGTCGTTTCATTCAATAATGTGAGATGACAATGCTTCATTAGGTAACGGAGATGGGGTCTGGAATCAGAAGTTATTGATAGCGTATCTACACCCCAGCTGGCACTGACTAGGTTCAGTTAATTTCTGTTAATCCACAGGGTTTCCTCTCATTTCTTCCTATTTTAGGGTAGGATTAATTAATTTTAAAAATGGTATTTTCTGGAGAAAGCTTAAATTGAAATATAATACAACAAAATGCATTTTAAAATTCTTTTTTAAGCTGTTATTTTTTTTAGAGGCATTCCCATGGCCTGAGATACATCTTAAAAGCTCTCTTGCGATGGGATGATCGTACCCCACGACATACTTTTGGAGTACTGCATCAGCTGGAAATATGACGGGTGGTTTGGGGATCTGCTTTAAGAAAGCCAAAACAGAATATATGGTGTCCTGACCCTATTTTTTGTTAATATTTCTGGTTAAAACGACTGCCTGGTTTGCAGCGGGTGTTTTGCACAATGGATGGGATTTTCAACAGCTGAGATAACTCTTCCCTGCAAAACAGTGAGCGTGCGACCTGTGGGCACGTTGGGTGGCCTCCAAGCCACAAGAGAGCGGAATGAGAGACCAATAACGAGAAGAAAAGGAGGAGGTTATCACCAAAAGTGCACTTAATTGTGGAGCATGGTTGGAGGAAGCGCGTATTTACCGTTCAGACTGCTCCTGTCTATCAGGTTGGTGTCCACCGGCCAGTAGGAGCCATCCCCGTGACGACCTGTCGGCAGAAAAAAAATGCATCAGACATGGCACGACGAGTAAAACAGCAAAGTCAAGTTCGTTGCTTGAGACAGTGCCCGTCTGACAACGTTTAAACCATCAAACAGTGCGGGACAAAGTCACCCCATATGTGCCGGGGAAAATCTGTCATCAAAGCAGGCTTTGGAAAGCAAGCTGAATTTCAGCCCTTTGAGCAGCTTGCCTTGTTCTGTTGGCTTTGTGTTGGTTTTGGTTTTTTTTCCCTCCTCCAGATGTGCTCGTTAGAGTGACAAACTAAGGTACGATGGCAGCATCCGTCTGTGCCCCCTCCACATGTGACGGGAACAATTCCGACGGCTGCTTTTGAGCACAAATGCCTGGAACTGCGGCGGAGGGACGGGGCTACACAGAAAATTGCAGGCACGTTCTCCACCTGCCAGGTGGCTTTCCACCACTATTAAGCAAGCTTTCTTTAATTTATTTTCCCAGTTGCGGAAATAGAACCCCCCAACTGCTTGGTTTTTACAAGAAGATTGCCTCTTTTCTAACCCTGACGTAAAAAAAGACAACAAAGAAAGAAAGAAGAAGGGATGGGGTTATTACTCCAAAAATGTTTTGGCCGTTGAGGCAACATTTGCACTCCAAATTAATACAGTAAAAGATGAGGTGTTCACCTTTTCACCTGCTTTATTTTTTCTTATTTATCAGCTTTGGGCTAAATAGCCATGTAGGTATGTCCACGTTCCTGCCAAGAGCATCTCCGCTTCCTAATTTCCGACAGAAAAAGAATCACGAAGGTTGGTAAAGTCCTACCAAGCTCCTCTTTCTCTCTACTGGTATGGGAGTGAGCAGTCAATGTCCACAGCAGAAGCAGTTTGGGGTAAAAAACTGCTCTTCTGGCAAACACCAAGCTTATGCCAACAGCTCGCTCTCGGTGATGGGCACACCTCCCCATAGCAAAGCCACCTAACTCCTCCAAAGCTAATTATTTGTTTCATTTAAGTCTTCCCAGGTGGCACGGTCACAGCGGATCTGCCCCCGCGACAGGCAGAGGTTGCCGGAGCAGCACATTGACTCCGTAGGACCCCATGGCATCTTTTGGGGGCTCTGCCATCCCTTAGGTCAGACAAATGGGACCTTGAAGGTGGCTTTTGGGTTGGTGAAGGGATTATGTAGCAGTACTGAGAACTCAGTGCAGGGCAGGGAATTACTGGGGATTATTCCAGATAACTTCTACATCAAACAACCACCACCTACATCAGATCTCTTGGCAGATTAAGCAAAAAAAACCCCATTTTCTCACTTTCCTGCAGTTGTTTGTTGCTGCTGTGCACTGTTAAACAACTACCGTATTCCTCTCCAGAGGTACTTGCATTTCTGTGGATTGCGAAGAAACCCACGTGCATAAGTTTGTCTACCAATTTGGAAAGTATTTTGTGATGAATGGCCCTAAATAAATGGAAGATGATTATCATCAGAAGAGACTTCAATGTAATCATCTTTTCAATCAGCATAATTGCACAGCTACAACAACTTGATCCCAAGAAAGCAAGGTTGCAAAATGTTTAGCTGTAAAAGCAGAAAAAATAGAGATAAATGTAAGGTATATCGTAATTCTGTTTACCAAGATGACACTCTAAAGCAGTCCTATTCATGGTACTGCACTTCAGCGTGTGAGTATGTTGTGACCCCGGGGTCACATTGTGCTTAGGAAACTGGGTAGCTCCATGGGAGATTGCTAGATGTTACTATTTTTTATGTTTAGCCCACACCGAAACATCTTAATGGGAGCTTAATGTAGCGGAAAATTTAGTCAGGATATCGCAGACTTAAAAAAAACCCTAACCCTGCACGCCTGACTCTGAAGTTTAGGACTTTTTTAATTAACGGAACAGCACTTTTCAAGGCATTACACATGACATTTTCGGTATACAAATATTTGCGTCAACAGCTGCCCATTTCATTTCTGGGGAAAGTCTTGGGCTATGCCGACCATCGCAGGGGGTTCTTGGGCTAGAAACACCTGAAGCAGTAAAACCATCCCAAGGCTCCAGAGTCTTCCAGCTTTACTCACTGAGGGTAACTTTCAAAAAGCTCAACCTCTAATCAGAGGCAATTTCACTCGTAAGAAACAGGATCGCAAAAACCAAACAGTATTTCAGCAGCGCTGATTGTCAGGGATAGCCAAGATGGTATTTATGGTACTTTGGCTCTGTTCTCCTCTTAAGACATACAAACATTATTCAATATTTGGATAAACATGGAAACCTAAGCACTTAAGAGAGGGGAGCTGAATCTCTGACGCTTTGTAAGGTTTTATATGTTCAAGGGTAGGTAGGTCTTACACCCCCAAGGATTATCCATGCTCTGTTCCAAGCCAACACACCTCCGTGAATCGTTTCTATCCCTACCTTTCACTCGCCAACACTTTAGGTTATATTTCCTTTTAAAAAGCTCAAATGATGTGCAAGAGCGTTGCTGCTTCGAGGCTATTGCTTCATGCAGTTTCAAGGCTGCCTTTATAATAATCTAAATTTAAAAGTAAACTAATCTGTGTGCTTCCACTAAATCTTCATCTTCAATATCTTTACCGCACTCGTCTGTTCGTGCTGTGCTCACTGTTGCCCTGCACTCCCTACCCAAATCCACCGATGGGTTTCTTGTCCTACAGAAGACAAGTATGAAACTCCTGACCCACCTAGTTTAGATGTAAAACCTCAGCGTCAGCCAGAAAGTCATGAACAAAGAGGGCATAACTCAACAGGTACGTCCACACCTCATGTGGGGTTTCTTTGGGTGAGACAATGGACTCTTGTCAACGTCCACCAGTTTCCAGTGGAGCTTTTTTCCTCTGTCATATTCCATCTTTTGGAACAAACTATTCTAAAATTGTGACTAATCAGATGTTTCATTGAGAAGTGCCTTTTTTAATGGAGGTTAAAAAGTCTTTAAACTTGACTTTCCTACATTTTTAATGAGTTATATTAAAGGTGGAAACATACTTTCAGAGGTGCCAAAACCTGCATGCATCTGAACCTACGTATCATTTCTCACCTCTCTGTTTAACTTCCATTTTCCCCCAGGTCTGTTTTTCACATTTCAGTAACTTGAGTATTTCTCTGAAAAAGCACAGACTTTTCCCACAACTGCATCTCAGCTGCCATTATAAGAAATAAACATTTCAACTTGCTCTCGTCAAGGCAAAAAAACCCCAACAACCCACGTTGTTGGTGACAACAACAGTCCTTCATCCTCTCGGGTCTCCAGCACTTGGAAATTGGCCAAAAATTCTGTTGGCGTTTTGCTGCAAACCTCTTTCCTTTTTCATGCCTTCCTCAAACAGTTTCCTCATTTGCAAACTTTGGGTATCCCCCCACGGCACAGGCAGATGGGTAGATGTTGAGGGAACGCTCTCTCCTTGCCAAGTGCTCACTGCAAGCCAACCACCCAAGCTGGAGACCTGGAAGGGGAACGATGCTTGCTGTTACGTTGTCTGGCTCCTCTGAACCAGACACGGTCCTGCACTACCACTGTCACTGTGTTTTGCCTTAAACCGTCCAAAATACGGAGAAAATAAGCTGAGCGATATTCTTCTATGAGATAGAGACTATAAGTGGTATTTTCTACCCCATGGCTGTCCCCAGGGAGGTTCAAGCATGCAAAATAAGTCATTGGGAGATTCAAGCATGCAAACTAAGTCTTTGGGAGGTTCAAGCACGCAAACAAAGTCATTGGCTCTCACAGCCAACACAAGCTGTCACGCATATGGTACCATCGGAAAAAGCTGCTCTTCTGTTTCCACGGAAAAGCTGAGCTCCCTACGTTAGTTATGGCACTGAGGACTTGGAAACCTGCTCCAGGATAGATAGAAGATTGCACAAGACCGCAAGTTGCCTTCAGGGGGGCAGCTCCAGCTCGCTGCTGACCTGCAGCCCTCCTGGACACCTGGGGGAATAAGGAAGCTCAGACATAGTGGAGTAAAAGCAGAGTAAGGATGGCTAAAAACAAAGGGGCAATGGGAGCTTCTGCCCAGAGCAGACGTGCAGATGTCTAAGAAGAAGAGAACATCCCCCTAGCACCTTGTTCCAATTTGGTATCATCTTCTGGGAAGGTAGAAATATAAGACAGAAGAGAGAAAGGTTGAATAGTACATGCTATGCAGTTCAGTATCGCTCCACAGGCTGCTCTTCATCCTGGAAGCTGGACACCAACTCAGCCTGAGATGGGTAATGCTACATGGCCACATCGTGTATTCACACACCCAGCCAGGAGGAGGAGCGGTGGGTCACCCGCTGACTTCAGAGAACACCAAGAACATCCATCTCCATGTCCACGGCCATTCACAAGTTCCCTCTTTGGTCAGTGATGACAGAAGGAAACCTCACAACCACAACTTATCTTGGATGGGGAAAGCTGTTTTTTGCCGGTACCCACCTCTGCCCATCGACTACGCTATTTGTCAGACTTTGGGATGTACAATTTTAGCTTTCACGGAATCACGGAATCACGGAATTTTCAGAGTTGGAATGGACCTCTAGAGATCATCTAGTCCAACTTTCACCACTGAGGCTCTGCATCCATCAGCATTTAAACAAGCCGGAGCAGGAGGATCTGTGTCTTCTATGGGCAGCACCTGATAACGAAGGAGATCCCACTCTGGGCTGGTGGCAGCTGAAGAGCTCAGCTTCTTCTTTAAATTCCAAGCATGCCTTGCCTTCTGAGATGCTTTCCAATTTTTTTGGACCTTAAGAAAGAGTTCCTACACCTGCTTGGTAAACACAGCCAGATGAATTTAAAAGGCCTTTTTTTTTTTTTTTTTTCCGCCAGAAGGCGTTATTCTGATAAACGGGATACTTCTTATTTCTTTTCTCTAGCGAAGAGCGTTACAGACCACTGCATTATTTGTTTAGGAAGCAGCTCGTTGAAAAAGATCTGAACCGCGCATCCTTTC